ACAACGGTACTTCGATTTATGAGTTTAATTTGATCCGTGACCAAGCTTGCAAATGAAATGAATAAGTATTTCAAATCAACATTCCCCATTGTGATGAATTGAAAAGTCATCAGTCCATTCCATCCCTTTCAAAAAAACACCACGGTTATTTTCTTCCGTTTAAAAAAAAAAAAAAAAAACAATGAAAGACAATGTAAAGAGACAAACTATTTTTCTAAAGTGTAATTACCGTACATTGGGACGAGCCATGTCACAAAAACAACAGATGAGCGGGGCGTAGTGATGCGACTCAGGAATGATCGTCTCCACGTGAGCTTCTGGATGTGAGATTTGGCTTTCTGTAGCTCTTGGTGAGTGCTCTCATTTTGTAATTGTATGTTTTTACTGTTTGATCAATGGCTTCAAGTGCATCTGCAACTGTAACCCTCTTATTTTTATCACTTCACCAGAGTGGAAGCTCACATCACAAAGTAAAAAAGTAACAATAATAAATAAAAGTGACAGCTCTTAACCCAAACAACTCATGAGTTGGAGCACTCTGAAGTCAAGGTACCACTGTCGACTACAAAGTGGTTTTGGATGCCTCACACTTTTGAGTAAAATCAAATTCTGGTTATTAACATTCATTCATTCATTTTCCGAACCGCTTGATCCTCACTAGGGTCGCCGGGGGCGCTGGAGCCTATCCCAACTGTCTTCGGGCAGTAGGCGGGGGACACCCGAATCGGTAGCCAGCCAATCGCAGGGCACACAGAGACAAACAACCATCCACGCTCACATTCACACCTAGGGACAATATAGAGTGTCCAATCAGCCGACCGTGCATGTTTTTGGAATGTGGGAGGAAACCGGAGTACCCGGAGAAAACCCACGCAACCCGGGGAGAACATGCAAAGTCCACACAGGGAGGCCGGAGCTGGAATTGAACCCGGTATCTCTGCACTGTGAAGTCGACGTGCTAACCACTGGACTACTGGGCCGCCAGGTTATTAACAATATCCTTAAATATGGATGCCTTCCATGGGTGGGTTTAAGCTTGCATCTATGTCACATTGCAGCTGAGAGTGATGTGATTCATGTCCAAACAATAAATTCAACCAGGAATAACCAAGAACTTGCAATATGTGCTTTTCCCTTTATTGAAACAGTTGTGACCGTAGCCAGAGGCTTCACCCCATATCCCACTTGACCATCCTTTTGACAGACTGCAGTGGGACCATTTGAATAGAACTTTAGCACTCCACAGCAAGCCTCAACAAAGGACACAGAATTAGAACAAACGTGAAATATTAAAGGGCAAGCTGTGGCAGTTCCAACGAATTTGCTGGCTGAATATGCTTTCTTGTGCTTTTTGACACCTTCAAAGGTATTTACACCATGAAATAAATTGCAATGTGGGAGGCTGGAAGCATCATAACTCATTAGTGTTAAACTATGAGAACCTCAGAAGGAGGGCTTGTCAGGTCTTTCATGGGTCTTCAAGTTATCACCCCATAACCCTCAATTTTCTTGAAAAAAAAAAGGACAAAGCAGATTATGGCATACTTTTTTTTAAATTTTATTGTTTAGTGTTGTCCACGTACAGGCGAACACGCAAAATTATCCAGACAAAGGCAAAATTGTTGGTAGCCTTCTGTGAAAAAAAGAAAATCTCACAATGGTAACCGGATTAACTTGCGAACTAACAAACAGATGAGACTGGAATTTACCAAAATGCACATTGACTAACCACAAAGCTTTGTGGAATATGTTTTATTGGAAGGATGACACATAACTGGAGCTTTTTGGTAAATCACGTCAAAAAAAAAAGAACACTGTTACTCTGATACATGGCGTAGGATCGGTTATGTTCTGAGGCCGATTTACAATATCAGGTTCATGGTTTCTTGAATCTCTGCAAGGCAAGGTGAAATGAAATGTAAATGAAATTATGGAATCTCAAGACTATCAAGGCTTTCTGGAGTAAAATCCTGTCCAGTGTTAAGGCCTGTAAATACTTGCGCGGGTGATGCTGCATGCAGTTTGCCTTTATACTTGCGCGCGACCCACACCCACATTATTTTACAAATGTGCTGCAGTTTCACTCCAAGACGGGGGCGTCCCTACAGCTGGTATTGGCTAGGAAACCACAGGCTGGAGTTTCCTCTGCATTTTATGGCCAATTCATGTTGCTGTTTTTACTTTACAAGGAACAAAGCAACAACAATGAAGACGGCAGAACATTGCCTGCTCGAACAAATGGAACGAGATGACCAGATGATGCATTTAATTGTATTGCGAAATCGATCAAGGCAGCGGTGGATGCGGTATGCACAGCCGCTAAATGAAAGTCATACCTAGCCGGCGAATGCTGAGTACGTCATCACAGCATCACAGCCTAAACAGACCATTCACGAGAGATGACTCGAAGCTGCGGGCATGCAAAATTGTGCACTGCTCTCACCCTCTCAGTGCAAAGCAGATTGATATATTTCGTCTCGGGTCCTGTCCGCAGCTTCTTTACAGTTATATTGTCCATGTTGCGGTGTATAAGCTGTTAAGCCTGTAACACTTACTGCTTAGGTTATTATATCTCTCTGGAAACACACACATATTATATATATATCTAGAGAGAGAGAGAGAGAGAGAGAGAGAGAGAGAGAGAGAGATATGCGCAATGTGTTTGGCAACTTGGCAGTTAGCGCTACAGCGTTGCCCAGCGGCACTATATTCACAGCAAAAGCATTGATTGTATTTTTTTTTCACTTGTGGCGGCAGCACTTCGCCAAAGTGCCTAACTTGGCATGTTGTCACAAGACAAAACACAAGACAATCAGATGATGAAATTGCTTTCAAGTGTCCCCTTGAACAATGTTATCGGTGCAGAACTGCCGATAGTGATTGTAGCCATATATTATCTTTTAGAAAGCAGAAATATAAATGCAGCTCTTATATTGGATCTCATTAGAGGCCCTATACCTAATGGAATGTTTGATGAGTGTATGTGTGTTAAATATTTAAATATACATTTAATGATAGTATAGTAACCTCCGCCTTGCCTGCTTCACCTTACCCATAACTGGAAAAAAAATGGGCTACAGAAGCAGAGCACAATGAAGTCTGGTGGTTTAATCAATTATTTATCAAATATTTTAATGATCAGAGTGCCTGGAGTGATCAAAGCTGGAGTGGCTTTGCCGACGAAGACATCCACTCTACTTTGATGTGCTTCCCCAACAAAAGCACTTATCAGAAGCCGAACTCTTATCAAACTCTGAAGCTATTTATCTGAGAGTCGTTCACATACAGAAGGTCGGTGCCCAGTGCAAAAGAATAAAGGATAAAAGTCACCCCTGGTCTGGAGCAATCAAACTTATGACTTAAACCTATACTGTATACTTCCAACTCCTATTTTGAAAGTTGAGGTCACCTCCTCAGATCCCTTGTGTACATTAGCATATATTTAATTGGATGGCAAGGTCTCCAACATGACGTGGGTGTCACGAGATGTTGAATAAAATATTGCTCGGAGAAGAAACAACTGCCTTAAATAAAATCCTGAATTAGGATGACCAGTCAGTGGATGCAAATTAGCCACTTGTCAAAAAAAGGACCAGACAAACGTTAGCAAGCTCAGAAATGTAAATGCATACTCATACGCCATCGCTATGACATACCCGACTTTAATTATGCTCATCAAGTCATGTGATTGTACGCTGCATTCGAAACCCTGATGAGTACAATCCCAAATACAAGCCGCAAGGTTAGAACACATTCTGTAATTTGACAGCAACTACAGTACATGTCTGCTGTATGCAAATACCCTTTGTGGTTTACAGCCATTTTTGTTGCCTAACAAGGATGTAAGATCGAAATTTACATTGGCATACAAGGTGCACAAATGCAAAAAGTGAGATGTTATGCTGCGTGTGGGAGTGGGTACCTTTCCATTGCCATAACTTGGATCTTTTTTTTCCCCCAATAGATAGTGGGTCAAATTAACCCCGAATTGAATGTTCACCGTCACATTTTTTATCCTGCGCAGTCTCGCCTTTCTTAGAGTGAAGGAGTGCCTTCCATGTGCAAGATGAGGGTGAAGAAAAGTTTCTGTGTAGAAAACCACTAGGCTGTTTTGACAGGTTAAAACTATGCTTACCTAAACAGTTAGATATGACAAAAACACTGGGGTTTTAAGCGGTGCATCTTAAAGGATTTTGAATAAAATACGTGATTTTTTTTTTTTTCTGAAGCTAAATGAGAGCAAGCATCCCTCGGCGAACAATTATGGCAAGATAATCGCTCGACACGAACTTATTTCCTCGTCACTGTGATACCGTTCCACCCCATCAGTCCTGCTCGCCTCGCCTAAGTGGCTCTTCCTCTCTAGATTTCTATTTTCTTTAAAAATCAAGTCATGTGCTCAGATTATTCTACACACTCCAAGGACAACAAAATTGCTGATGAAAAATTAAATAGTTATCTCTGTGTGAGTTATCTCAGTCCTCAGGGAGATGATGCTTTTCTTTTCTTTCTTTTTTTTTTTTGCAGGCTAGCGGGTGTCTTTTGTTCCCAATTTAGAAGCTTGTCTGTGTGTATTGTTCACTTTTGATGTCTTGTTTGATATTCCGCTCACTTTCTTCTTTGACATGTCGAGAAAACATCTTTATCAAAGTGTCAGATGTATGGCTAGTGTCAGGACGTTGGGTTTTGGCCTCTCTCCCTTTCATTGCATTTCAGCGGGAGATTGTGTACTCAGTGAGGTAGCTTGCAAGGCTCGCGAAATGTGCTTTGCACCCAGAATGAGAAGTCAACATATATCCCAAACCTCAATTCCACCTAAAAATAAAGACGATGTTTTAAATCTATGAGGTTGTCAGTGGTTAAACTGGGTCACTTTAGGGACGCCGGAAAGTTCCTGACACAGGTTCCTTTGTTGGCTCTAGGTATTCATTTACATTGTAAATTCTCTGTCAGACACGGTCAGATGCTGATCTAAAGCGACTCCTCTTCTGTCCTTGCAGGAGGCCTGTCAACTTGGGAAGATAACATCTGTGAATGTAAGTCATGCACTCGTATGCTCCTTGCTGTGCTCTTCCTTGTGCACCCTCCTTTAAAAGCATGGCTGAAGCGTGATACTTGATATCGTGGAATGTGGTGTAATCCCTCATTGTCGAGGCTTTGCAGCTTCGTTCAATCTGCACCTTAACTTGAAATTCAGAATTCAAGTCCTATGATTAATTAAAAAAAAACCAAAACTTCCGTTTGTGCTTCAAAAGCTATGTTTATGTGACTAGTATGAATAAAAACACTACACGGCAAATATGACGAGGCAAACATCCTTTTACATGCTGGCCTTCAAATGGTAAAGTAAAAAAACAATTCACGGTTGTGTATTGACAAAGGCTGATCAGGGAGATGTTGACATGAAATCAAACACATTCAAAAAGAAGGAAAAACATGATATTGGCAAGTAAATAAGAAAGTTATGGTCGATTCAGCGGTTCTTTACCTGGTTTAACAACTTGTTATTGTCATTTTAATCTTTTCCTTCACATTTTAATGAACTCCACTTGTAGAAGATTTCCTTGCTAAATTCCCATGTAAGACCGCATTATGGAAAAATAAACCTCTATTGTTCGACTTGAATGCACAGAAAATGTTGAGAAGTTCAAGAAATCAGACATCAAAAATCATATTTAAGTATATATATATATATATATATATATATGACAGGGTCACCAATTTTGTTCACATTCTGAAGAACTGTTAACCGAAAATAAAGATTTTTTTTTTTTAAATCCTTGAATTCCTTTTTGTGGATGATCCAAGAACCAACCAGTCTCCATCTCCAGCGGCCCCACCATATAAATTGAGTTGGATTAAAAGATGGATATTCTCAATTTGTGGAAATATTCCAAATCTCCAAATAGTGCAGTATCTTCAAACAATTCCGATGTTTGAGTTCTATTTACTGTAGACTTCAATATGTGTTGTTTCCAAGTCAAAATGCTGAGACAGTTTCACAGAGGAGCTCACAATAATGACATGACTCAGCTAATTTGATAAATCATTCATCGGGTTTGTCATACCATCTCCCACTAATCCCTGGACCCACTCGCCAGCATCACCTCCTCCTTGCGTGTTCTTGTTAAATTGTCCATTTCACACACTGGTAACAACATATCACCAAACGCCTTTTGAAAAGCAAAACGTAAAGCCTTTACAGAGGAAACAGCAAAAATGTTTTCAACAGTGGAGCGGGTCAGGGGGTATGGCGTCTTTCGGAAAACGTCTTACCGTAGTTTTGCAGTGTGAGTGTTTCTGCATATAAGAAGATAAAATACCTTAGTGGGCATACAGAGGCTGGTGCTCATGAGGTAAACTACATCTGTTATATCCCTTTGAGTGAATCCCAAATATGGCTGTTTGTCACTCATGGAGGGACGGGCGGAAATAAGAGTGGTGGAATGTACAAAGTCGACTTTAAAAAGTATATTTAGCAATAGTACAGAGGCTATGCCCTGATAACGACGCAAGCGGATACTACTTGGTCAATCGCTAAGTATGACGGACCTCTAATCCGGTAACCCATGAATCCAGACCCATCTGCATTTCGCCCGGACGGTTACTAGAGGGAATGTTTTGGATTGGCTGGCTTGTTCTGTGGCAGAACTTGGCACACGCACCCCCTCCTGTTCAGTTTATCTCTGTGTACATACTTCTCAAGGCGCTGTTTTATCTGGCTGAACAGGCTTTGTTTGGTCTTGATATCTCTTACCACAGCTTGTCTTTGCTTTATGGATTTCTGGCAGCTTCTTTAAATAAGTGATAGCGCTTAGTAAAACACTCACCTTGACTTCTCTGTGAATGTTTTTTTTTTGTTTGTTTGTTTGTTTTGTTTTTCATGCTTGTCATTTTGCATTAACATTTGATTCACCCCATAGTGAAAAGTAATTACCTAAGACCCATTAATAGAATTACATAGTAATTAATATGTAATTAAATGAAATTATTTTTCTATCACCTGGTACCATCTTAAATAGGTTTGAAGAAACAACATTTTACAGTAGGAGACACTCCTTTATGCAAAATGATTATGGCCTAATTGTCACGGACAGCTGTTGCTTCTAATAGATTCTGGATACCTTTGCCGAAACACGTTTCCAATAATTAGAATCATGTGGAGAGGAAGAATGCTTTTTTTTTTTTTTGTAGAGCTGCCAAGCCTCCATAAATGGGCTCTATCTTAAGCCGGAACTTGGGGTCTGTCTGCGTACACACTACACTCATTTGAGAAACACCTGTCAAAGCTGTTTGAGAACGACATGATATTTTAGCGCCTTGAAAGCCTTGGTATGCATGATACACACACCTATAGGATTTAGCCAACAAGATGTTGTTGCTATAGTTCTTCTGGCTCTGAAAGCCTGTAAGAGAGAGAGAATAATTTCAGCGGGAATCCCACATGTTGACAGTCATTCTTCATTTTCATCACAAGTCACCGCACTGCGTTTTTTGTCATTTTTCTAAGACAAAAAAAAAAAAAAAAACAATGAATCTGTAAGTATATACCTCGGCTAAGCCGAACCACTTCAAGCCATATTTTTGTTTTCGGGCGCTAGTCCAGTGCTAAGCGCATTCTAACTGTGCGCATGGGTGGAGTTGTCTTTGTTTTCATATTTTGCTCAACTTTGTGCCAGTTAAAATAGGTGTAAAAAAAAACAGTTTGCCACCATTAAAACTGTTGCTAAGCATCTGCTGAAAGTCTTTGCTATCGTTTGCGACCTTGAGCAAGCCCTCATGAAAAAAAACAACATTCAGGCCATGCACAATGACCTTAAAATGCCATTCAAAACTTTGGTCTGTTCATTTCAGATTGAGGACGTGCTTTGTTTTTATGTACTTGTATATGTGTACAGTGTATGTGTGTATATACACTGTATGTATGTATATACACACACACACACACACACACACACACACACATGCCAAGCCTCCATAAATGGGCTCTATCTTAAGCCGGAACTTGGGGTCTGTCTGCGTACACACTACACTCATTTGAGAAACACCTGTCAAAGCTGTTTGAGAACGACATGATATTTTAGCGCCTTGAAAGCCTTGGTATGCATGATACACACACCTATAGGATTTAGCCAACAAGATGTTGTTGCTATAGTTCTTCTGGCTCTGAAAGCCTGTAAGAGAGAGAGAATAATTTCAGCGGGAATCCCACATGTTGACAGTCATTCTTCATTTTCATCACAAGTCACCGCACTGCGTTTTTTGTCATTTTTCTAAGACAAAAAAAAAAAAAAAAACAATGAATCTGTAAGTATATACCTCGGCTAAGCCGAACCACTTCAAGCCATATTTTTGTTTTCGGGCGCTAGTCCAGTGCTAAGCGCATTCTAACTGTGCGCATGGGTGGAGTTGTCTTTGTTTTCATATTTTGCTCAACTTTGTGCCAGTTAAAATAGGTGTAAAAAAAAACAGTTTGCCACCATTAAAACTGTTACTAAGCATCTGCTGAAAGTCTTTGCTATCGTTTGCGACCTTGAGCAAGCCCTCATGAAAAAAAACAACATTCAGGCCATGCACAATGACCTTAAAATGCCATTCAAAACTTTGGTCTGTTCATTTCAGATTGAGGACGTGCTTTGTTTTTATGTACTTGTATATGTGTACAGTGTATGTGTGTATATACACTGTATGTATGTATATACACACACACACACACACACACACACACACACACACACACAGGTATATTGCAATGTAGGCACCATGTTCTGTCTTTTCTGCTCCATGTCCTGCTGCTGTTCAGCAGAATATTTTTATCAATGTTTTGATGAAACACAAATGAAACCAACTTGCCTTTTTGTACTCTAGTTTTTTAAAGCCCCACTCATGTTTCTGAAATGCACTTGTTGTGCACTTCACTTTTGGCAGGTTATCATTTACCCATGGCACATCCTTCGTGAATCCATCCCTCCTCCCTTATTCTGTCCTTTGCAAGAACAATTGCTTCGCTATCGCTGCACCATAGTGGTGGAGGAAACACATGTATGCCCATAGACTCCCCCTCAGAGCTGGAAGAAAGGAGCGATTATTAATTGTGTTTTTCATTGAGAACTTTCAATATAGTTTTGTTGCAATAGCAATTAAGAGAATCAAGATAGTCATTTATGTTCCAGTTGGATTTGCAACAACAAAAAAAACTCTTATCAGGTTGAATAATAGGATGGTTAAAATTTGCCCCAATAACTGAAGCCGAGGTTGTAATTACATTTTATGTGTCACGTCCCGACACCACAGTGGCGCGATATATTATGATGTTACCTAGGGAATTACATGAAGACATGAATACATGCCACAGCATAATGACCGTGACAATGCTCGAATCCACTGGTTTTGCCTCAGTGTCAGATTGAACCACATTTGCTCACTCCCGGCCTTTTTTTTTCTCTGTCAAACTCCAAGTTAAAAAAAAAAAAAAAAAAAGAATGTAAAGCACCAAAACTTAATGTATATAATATAAAACAATATAAAGCATAAACATTAAAAATCAAACCAGCAGTAGCGATTCACCGGTCCGCCTTTGTGCTACGATTAGTTGTAAAGGGTTTGCTCTCTTGAGAAAACACTAACATGTTTTAAGACGCTGTGAAATGAAGCCCCTTCTCTTTCTTGGCTCAAAAGAAAGGTCACAGCATTATATTGTGGAAATCTCATGAACAGTGGCAGTCTGAGCTTGAATTGCGCCCTGTGTGAGACCCTGCTTTGCTTTTTCTCCACCCCAACACACACACACACACACACACACACACACACACACACACACACACACAAAGACGTTTATGATAAACACATTGGAGAGGACCTTTAATTGTTTTTAAAATACATGTATATTGAATTGTAAGCAAACATTCCAGCATCACAAAGTATAATATCCACATACACACACACACACACACACACACACACACACACACACACACACACACACACATACACACAACCCATTTGGACAATCAGTTTTGATTTAAAAGGTGTTGTGCATCGAATCGAGCTAAATCAAAGTGTTACACATAAAAATCCGTCCTTGAATAGTGTCGCAGCCCTCACATCCCGAATGGGTACATATCGAATGAGTGGAAGAGCCCCCCACCCACACACACACACAAAATGCAGGCACAACTCATCACAGTTATTTAGTACTCTTTTATGAACTTCTTTAGAAAATAAGGGATTTTTTTGCAAGATTTTTGAGTGAACACCTCCTTGTATCTCACCGCTTTCCCAGACCCAGCGCCGAGTGACGTTCCATCTTCCAGATGGTTCCCAGGAGAGCTGCAGTGACAGCGGGCTGGGTGATCCAGAACCAAGCAGTACGGCCAGTACCTCCCAAGCTCTTCCGTTCAGCTTCCCTCTTGAGGAGTATTACGAGCAAACATCCCCCAATAGTCGCACCGAGGGAGATGGAAACTCAGACCCTGAATCAAGTGAGTCCAAATTTTTCTTATATTTAAATTGTGTGCAGAGGTTGTGGGTTCATATCTGGGCTCCTGCCTTCTTGTGGGGAGTTTGCATGTTCTGCCAGTGCCTGCATGGGTTTTCTCCGGCTACCCCAGGTTTCCTCCCACATTCCAAAAACATACTTATTAAGTGATGTGCACACTCTAAATTGTCCCTTGGTGTGAGTGAATGAATGGATATTTTTGAAAGGTAACTTTTATTACATAACTAAAGAGGTGTGCAACTGTCACTATTTCAATGAAATCGGCTATTCAGTAGAATGATTTGGGGCTGAATGGCCTTTACTTTGTATTTGCCTCACAATTAAGGAAGCTATATTAATATTTAATATAGAACAATTGATTTTCTTTTCACCAGGGATCTTCCTAGAGGTGAACATTTTAATTTCTATTTATAAATAATTTAGTATTCCATCGCCCTGTGTTCAAATAAATAGTTCCTGATCATTTTAGTGTACTATCGCCACTTTAAAGTTGTTTTTCGATGTATCGCAAATACCAGTATGCAGCACAAAACTGCCCACTTTCAGTGGAGTTATGCTTGTTTAATTTCTGTGGTGATTCATGATGAATCAAGTAATTCACAGGACAGCTGTCACTGTTTAGTTTGCTGCCCACTGAAGTTTTCCATAAAACAAACCATTGAAGTCACAAACATACACAACATTAAAAAAACAAACAAAAAAAAAAACTGAATTAATTGGCTGACGGGTATATGGGGGTACAGCAGACACACATGATATTCCGCTGCACCATTAATGATACAAGCGATGAAACAACGTAAACACACCCCATTATGCACACGTCTTTGGCTTCATTTTCAATCTGTCATTGCTTCATATATGTACTGATACACACCTCATAGTTATTCTGGTCAGTGCTTCTTATATTTTCTGTGGATTGATTCTGTGGTCCATGTGCAACATTGCAAGGGGTAACTGCCTTCCCAGAGTTCTATATTAAACTATGAGAGCGTGTGTCTTCATTTAAAAAAAAATATGTATACCGTAGCACAAATCTGCAGGGCAGGTAGGATAAAATTGCTTTTCATACACTTTATAGCCATTGTGTCATTGGTGTAAGTGAGACCACATTCCTTGGTGCATCAGCCTCCCTGGCATCTGTGCTGACATGTCTGGGCCTCGGGTGTCAGCACGAGTGTGATTGTGAATACATTTGTTCGACATTAGATGAGACGGGTGACATTTCGTCGATGGCTTTCTGTTCATTTACATGGAAAGGTCCCTTCTATTTAGGATTTTTTTGTTCTGGTGTTGCTTTCTGAGAAGAGACTCCCATGATGCATCAACATTCACATTAACTTGCACACCTGTAAAGCAGAGATTTCTTTAAATGTGAAACCAAAGACACATCCGGTGATCAAACCTCTCTTTCACTGTCAGATATTCACCATGGTGACGGAATATTTTAATTCCAACACATACAGTAGACTGAATTGCTCATCATCTCATTGATATTCCTTGACATAAACATATCATATTACATCCACCTGCTCACTCACTGCAGTTATTGCCCACTTTGCTTCTTTGAGATAATATTTGTTAAAGTGCATCCATTTTAACTGGAAGACTAGCCTATTGCATCGACACAGTTGGACAGTTAATGTGTAATATTACTAAGAAGTAAAAGACAGGGCAAATATTACTGCCAAATTCGTGAAAATGATCTCAGCACAAAAATCTAATCATACACTCTCAGTGTACAAACTTCATAAGTAGACTACTGAACTATGTACAATAAAATAAAGAAGATACACCTCTATATCCATTCATCCATCCATCCATTTTCTGAACCACTTTGTCCTCACAAGGGTTGCGGGGTCTGCTGGAGCCTATCAGAGCTGTCTTTGGGCAGTAGGCGGGGGACACCCTGAACCGGTTGCCAGACAATCGCAGACATATCTATATCACATAGTAAAATGTTGTTTGATGAGCAGGAAAAGTGTATCTGTTGTACATTTTTCATCATTTAAATGTTGTCTACTGCAGAGGAGTGTGATGGTTTCCAGAGAATCGCAGCATCGCTTTAGTTTGAATGACAGGATGAAGAAAAACACATGCAATCATATCCTCGAATCAATATCAGGCCTCTTGTAGATTAAAAAATTAAATAAAAATCAATTTGAGTCAGATATTGGCTGCATTATAAACGGATGTACAAAAGTGGATATACTCAAACAACACACCAGCAGTATGATTAAATTAAAAAAAAAAAAAAAAGAGAGAAAAAAAGGCCAGTGGTAAATCATAACTACAGTGAAAGCAGAGACCAATCAATATAGTGTAAATGAGAAACGCACAGACCCTTTAATAAGGAAAATGAAAGACCAGTGCAGTAATGTTTACATTCAACCCAATGGGAGGAACGATTGGGCCAGGCCAACGCAACTATTTCTAACATTTAAAACGTATTTTATTATTTACAGAATTGATCACTTAGATGCATGGTAAATCAAACTTCCGTCGCTGCCATTGCATTGCTTGATCACTTTCTTTTGTGGTCTCTACTAGCGATAGGAAAATGAAGCATCAAGATGCTTCATGAACCAGTTGTTTTGTTTATTGAGCCCTCGAGATGGCACTCTCTTTTCAAGATAGGGCTGAAGCACACCGACTTGCCATTTCTTAAACCCCTTTCTTTAAACCGACTTCACTGCTGTAAACTTCCGGGTAATTTCACAGTCAAAGTGGGCCGTATTTTCAGAGTGTGGGAATTCTCTGTGGAATTCTAATGTCTAATGAAAACTCCATAATCTGGAAATTAGAGCCACCCTCCGACCAGAACTAATCTTGCCTGTTTGATGATTGCACACATATTTCCATTTTTCATATGGTGGGTGTGTCAGAAGCCAGGACAGGAAAATCTTTTTGAAAATGTGCACAAAATGTGCAAAAAGAATTGACTTAAGCGCCTATGAGAGAATATGCCAATAGAAGACTGAATATCAGCCAAGTCTGCAACAGAAAAAACTTAGAATTTGTGCAGCAGGGTCGGGCAATTTAAATGCTGGAGGTGGCCACATGTTTTCATCAGTGCTATTGGAGGGCCACATAGGACCAATGCACTTCCGAACCAGAATCAAAAATGCTCTTTGAAATATGGACTAAAAATGTGCACGTGCAAAAAATATGTACCTGTATGCTTAAAACATTTCATTTTGATGATACATTTTTTGGTGCATGAATGAAAAAAATCACAAAGACATAGCACGATGGTCAAGAAATATTGAATGGCAACTGACGTGTAATTGTATGTCCAAAAGGCAATCCACGTGACATTGTTGTGACAGTGTCATTCTCTCTTTAAGCATGCATCCACTCTTGAAATAAAGTTGTTATGATATTTCAAATTCATATTATTCGTGAGTTAGAAGACTGTTGCTTTTATGGACTTGTGCTGCCTCCCTTTCAGGCTTACCTCACCATGCAACCATCAGTCATGTGCTGTCACGCGTTTTTTTTAAAGGTTACATTTATTGTGTGTCAGCAAGTTGCAGAAATCTTGAAAATCAGAGCCACTTTAGAAGAATTAGACACAAAGCTTGGGAGCGGCGCCTTTTCGCCAAATTGTAATGCTCAAAGGGTGTAATGATATTCAATGCTAATTAGTGCCATGGCGAAGCACGCATGTGTACTGTCACTGATTCATAATGTTCCTTTTCAGCACAGGGGACTGACTTCTAGTCATCAAAGGTGATTTTTTTTTTTGAGAGAATAAACGGTCATGCTGTTGCGTAACTTATAAAATAAAGCCCTGTGATGTATTCAGTTAAATAGTTTAGTCCGTGATGAAAATAAGAACAGTTTAATTGCACACAATGTTTTATTGTTTGCATTTGCTAAGTGTGCAGGGCGTGATGAAAATTGATGCTGGCGTCAGGTTTTCTGAATTACGACATCCATCATGTCACAAACAACGTACAGCACTTTATGAGCAGCAAATCCAATAGTCAAGCACGAGTGTCAAATGCCGGTCCTCGACTCCCGCTTTACTGGCTTGCTCATCAGCAAGTTCTGCCGTAGCCTGATAACAGTCCTGATTGTTTGAATCAGGTGTAATGGTGGGGGGAAAACATGCAGGATAGCAGCCCTCGAGGACCGGAGTCTGACACCTGTAGATTAAATAATTTGTGCTAACCCCCAAGCAAACAACAACAACAAAATAATAATAATTGTGACGGTCTGATTTTTTTATATTTAGATTTATTTATTTACGACTTACATTACCTCCTCCTTTTTATACATACACTACTATTGGGTGGTGGGCACGAGGGAGAGTGTGTGTGTGTGTGTGTGTGTGTGTGTGTGTGTGTGTGTGTGTGTGTGTGTGTGTGTGTGTGTGTGTGTGTGTGTGTGTGTGTGTTGGGTTCCAGGAGTAGAGTTCCATAGCTTTGTGGCTCAGCGGCATATGGCTTTCAGATGACCAGCTTACACCTTGTCTGTCTAAGATCTAAATCTGCTATTAAAATAAGACCATCTCCTTTTTAAGTCCCTTTAAACACTGCAACTATAATAAGATTATGGTTTTAAATAGGCTTCAATGAATTATAAACTCATTTTATTATATAAAAAAAAAACTTGCTTCATCTTAATAATAGATTTAAATCAATGTTTCTTTTCCCCTTTTATATCAATATCATTTTTACTATGAGCAATATTGTATCTGAAGCGTTTGCAGCACATTTTATCAGTTTTGATGCCGGGAGACTAATAATCTGATTAAAGGCTTGCCATGTGCATGTGGGAGTAACATTCTGAACTCTCCAAAATGTTCATAATAGCTTTTTCGACTTTGTTTCCAGCTTACTGATTTATGACTACCTTTCTCCTTATGTATGGAAAAAGCCACTGCACTTGATCCGGTGAAAACAAACACCATGTGATTTATTTTTATTTATTTTTTCACAGAATCAGAAACCTCTCCCCATTATTGTCTCACAGCCAATG